CACGATCAATGAATACCAAAGAATAAATGCATTGACTGACGAAAATAGAAAAGCATTGCCAAGTGTCACGATCGATTGCATACCTGAGCATCGTACGCAACAGAACAAAGGTATTATGTACATACAATTAATTTTCTCATATATTGTAACGTTGATATTATAAGATGTAAAATAGAATATAATTTATATAATCTTGTTTCAATTTCTGTGATTATACAGCTAAAGACAGAAATGAAAATTGTGCAAGATCAGCTGTACAATTAATGCGAGAAAAAGTCGAGGTATTACAAGAACAAGGTGCGTTTAACAAGAAAACTCAAGAACGTCGAAATGAAATTGAAGAGGAAAAGTTGAAGATTTTGAAAGAAAACATAGCTTTAAAAAAACAAAAGTTTCAGTTCCTTCAGACTAGTCATTCAGAATATAAAAATATATTGACTAATATTGATGATAATTTGAAAAAGTTGTGCCTTCTTATTTAACATAAAAAATATATACGTAAAACGTGTGTATATACATAATATGTATTGAAAGTATATATATTTTGCAATAAAGTGCAATACAATGTTTCATTGAATATTTTATACAGAATTATTATTCTAACCATGATTCATACAAAATTATTATAGTATACAATTATTAACTAATAACTTATATCAAAGTAAATAATATCTTAAAATCACACCGGTCTTACATTCTCAAAATACATATGAATAATCCGCTCGCGAACTTCATTTCCATTTTCCATGTTTCCTTCTTCATTTCTTACTGGAAGTTCCAGGTCTATTTCATCGTAATATAGTTCTGGTTCAGGAAGCCTCCATTGGACAGCGATGTTATGTAGAACACATGCAGCATTAACTATTCGAGCTGAAAATAAATTGTGGTAATAAAAGTATATGTATAATATATAAATACACATACACACACTCTTGTATGTATGTATATATATTTAATTCATATTTTACCTGCAACTTCTGGTGCATAATGCAAAGCTCGTTCTTTCCTGAGACATCGCCATCTCCCCTTCAGAACACCTATGCATCGCTCAACAGAGCATCGAGCCCGGATATGATGTTGAGTGTACCTTGCAGACGGCGTTCCCTCTGGTTCATGTAGCTTAGGTGTCATCAGATATGGTAGTAGAGGATATGCACTATCTCCTAGAAAAACCATATACCGTTTAAAATATGCTTTTTAAATGCATTGCTAAAACGGAAATAATTAAGAACAAATTATATAAAAATATAGTTACCTAAAAGCCAGGCATCTTTTCGCCTTGTAGCATACATCTCTTCCAGATGATTGGATACGTGAGATGCCCTCCAAGCTCTTGCGTCGTGCGTTCTTCCGCCATGAGCAGCATTTACGGTTAAAATTTTACCTTCATAATCTGATAGTTTAATCATTTTTATAAAAGAAAGTTAGAAACTTAATTTTCTACATTAAATATAGAATTATTACATTATTAATTAAGTTATACGTACAAGAAGTACATTTAAGGAGTGATACAATTTGCGGTTGATATATAAATGCTCCCTTTCTACATTTGGTGAAACGATTGCTACATGAGTTCCATCTATAGCTCCGATAATGCCCGGAAATTGTGTACGTGTCCAGTAACTGTAAATTAAAAAAAATATTATATTTTTTAAGGCTTCTGCCTACTCATCGCTTCTATCTTTGTTTGATAACGACAGAAACGAGAAATTACATGCCAAAAAAAGGACCCCGCACGATTTATATGGAAAAACATTTTTGGTCAATTTTTTTGAATTTGTGATATGTTATAGTACTTGTGCGGGATTCTTTATAAACCTTACGTTTCTTTAACCCGTTGAATTTCATTTTCTTCAATAGGAAACTTGATCCACTGTTCCATCAATATATTTAATGCATTGACGACTTTGCGAAGAATTTTGGAAATAGTAGGTTGACTCATGCAAGACAAATAGTCTTGGCCGACTCGCTTTTGGTAAGATCCAGATGCTATAAAATTCAATGCGCTTAAAACCTGTGACATAAAAATAGCATTAAAAATTAGTAAAACTGATCAAGTTGATTAATTATTGTAACTCACAACATATGTTTCGTACTTGTAATTGAACAGGAGTTGCATGACGTCTTCTCGGGGCAGGCAGTAAGGGACGAAGGTCATCGATGAGAATTTGTACAGCTTCCCTGGATAATCTATAGAAATGTAAAAATTACTTATAACAGATTCCTCTCATTCGACTCTGTATATATTACAGACTTGTATCTTCTGTATTGTATATATTTAAAGTTGCTTCAAAACATACAAGATGTAGAAATATATATACACTACATTTATATTATATATATATATATATATATATATATATATATATATATATATATATGTATGTATGTGTGTATGTATATATATATCATATAAATGTAGTGTTACAAAAACGAAATTGATCTCTATATAATGTTAAAATATATAAAGACACTAATAAAAATAAAAATTTTTAGAAATGTAATTTAACCAACAAACACGATTACTTTCAGTCACTCACCTGTAAAGACTCCGAAATTCGTTTTCTGGGATCGCAAATGGATCCGAAACATCTCGTAATCCACGTCGTATTCTTAACATTGTATTATTTCGATTGCGCATAAACAGTATAACCAATAAATTATCCATTTTTAGCGAGCCAGGCCGTTGAACAGTCAATACGCTTCACTCACTTTCACTTTTTCACGCAAAATTTTGTGTCGAGTCTGCTCACGTGAATCAGTTCGCACTTTCACGAGGTGAAAACAACCGTGATTGGGTGAGCTGCTCACTTCTGTCATTTTCACCCAATCCGAGAACCGTAATAGACCCCCAGGCCTGCGTTCTGAAACCTTACTCGAGTTAACTCTAGTTAACTCGAGGCGTTCAGAAATGCCGAGTTGACCCATTTGTGGCGTTCAGAAACACGCTTGAGTCAACTCTCGAGTTAACTATTTCTACCATAGAGATATAAGAATAGAGTGCGCAAGCGAGCTGAAAAGGCGATAGAGGAATAGAAAGAGAACGCTGCATATGGGCCCCTGCTGTCTTTGTCTATGCGCGCATGTGCAGTGATGTGCAGATCATGAAAGATTGTACCTCGGTATTCTCGATGTTTTATCTCGTGATTTCAAAGAATACGAATGCAAAATAATAAGCTCACGATTTTCAGTGGACAATAGCAAAACTGTATACTTTTATAAATATTTAATAATGTGCATTTGATATTATATTGTTTGTAGTAAAATTTTTATTTTTTTATTTTTTTATATTTTATTTCTTTGTGTTAAATAATAAGACTGATTTAAAAGATTTAATTTTTGTGTTAAAAGAATTTATTTTTTGTGTTTAAAAAATTTAATTTTTGTGTTAAATAATAAAAGACTGAATAGGATTCTATTCTATTCTATGATTAACATTGTATGAACAACATGTAATAAATTTTGTTTTATTATTATATATATTGAGTATATTTATATACAATTCCATATTCAATTCCATATTCAAAAAAAAGTAATATTTTATGGTAATACTACAATATGTACTTTGCTGTAATAATTTGGTAATTTTGGGAATTATTATTTAAGGATATATTTTCAAAGGAGTTCAAGGGGTTAGAACATAAATGCGTTATTATAGACACACTACATGCGTTATAGACACTGAGCAGCGCAAAGACGCATGCGTGCATAGACAAAGACAGCAGGGGCCCATATGCAGCGTTCTCTTTCTATTCCTATATCGCAGTCTCTTACGTGCGAGCATATGGGTGCATTCGAGGAGCACGCTATTAGCACAATTATCGTCCAAAACTGTTCGAGGAGACGCTTTGTGGCGCTGTGATATACGATGATGACGTCACTGTAAAGGCAGCGTGACGTCATCACTCGCGCTATTTTCGCTATTATTTTCGAGGTGAGGCACGAAGTACTATTGGCGCTTAAGCTGCGTTCGGGGAGCTTGCTATCGCTATCGCGCTATTGGCTCCTCAAACGAAGTTCATAGCGTTAGCGTTTATAGCGTTAATAGCGTCTCCCCGAATGCACCCTATGACTCGCGCACTCTATTCTTATATCTCTATGATTTCTACCCACGTCGAGGAGGTAGGTAGAAATTACTCGACATGCGCACATATATAGATTCCGTCACATAAGGGGCACATAACGCATGTTCTCGAAACACGCCTTTTTTAGGTTAAAGTTATTCACAAGAACCGGCGAACAAAAAGGGATACGGACACTATTTTCCTGATGCGCTGCCATATTTTCACTCATATTCAATGCTTGATGGAAGAACGCCATGTTAACCCGTGATGTTACTTTCGTCGTCCATAAACGACAGTAACCCGAAGTCAACTCTAACTCTACTCCTACTCTACCTGGGTAAAAGTTTCTGAACGCAGGCCAGAGACCCTTGAAACGAGGTGAAAATTACAAAAGTAAACAGATTTACTAGATTTCGACCAATAAAATCATATATACCCTAGTGAATTTCCTCACTTTTGTAACTTTCACCTCGTTTCAAGAACCGTAATAAGCCCCTAGAATCGACTATTCCCGTCTTCTTTCCTCTTAAAGAGAGGAATAGTCGACTCTGATTGGTGAATTTCCTTACGATTTACGTTTTACGTCTTCCGTCGATTCGTGTGTGTTAGGGCCAAAGCACATAACATGGCGTAGCGATATACGACGGTCGTAGTCCTCGACCTGACAAATCAAGATACGCCAAAGCTTGTGCGTTACTTACGTCCACGACTACGACTGTCATATGTGCTTTGGCCC